ACAAGCCCCAGAATATATACAATATAGATATACACCCTGACATTTAGTCCCGTAGTATTCATGGAGTTTGCAAGACTAACAGTCAGTTGTCAATGGGTGACTGAAGTGGGAGATATGAGGTAAATGAATGTCAAAAGTGTCGCGTTTTTTTTTTGTTTTTTGTGTTTTTCTCCATGAAAACAAAACCAAATAACATAATTTCAGTATATTTAGAAAGCTAAAAGAAAGGGCTACAATTATTGTATTGTGGGAAAAATGACCAAAAAAGGAAGGTGCATGCTCTACTATAAGAGTCAGATATAGATTTACTGATAGACTACAAAAAAGTCGGACTTAGACTACACAGTTTACTGATACCCTATAAAAGACTACAAAAGTCAGACTTAGACTATAAAGTTTGCTGATAGACTACAAAAGACTACAAAGTTTACTAATACACTACAAAAGACTACCAAATTTACTGATAGACTACAAAAAAGTCAGACTTAGACTACAAAGTTTACTGATAGACTATAAAAGACTACAAAAGTCGGACTTAGACTACAAAAGCTTAGATTTACACTACAAAGTTAGAGTTAAGGTCAAAAGGTTATCTTGACTACAAAGTTTGTAGTGTCCGCCTTTTGTCATTAGAAAAGTTTGTAGTGACCGCTTTTTGTCATTACAAAGGTTTGTAGTGTGCGCTTTTTCATTAGAAAGGTTTGTAGTGTCCGCTTTTTTTGTCATTACAAAGGTTTGTAGTGTGCGCTTTTTCATTAGAAAAGTTTGTAGTGTCTGCTTTGTTTATCATTACAATGGTTTGTAGTGTGTGCTTATTCATTAGAAAAGTTGGCAGTGTCTGTTTTTTGGGACTACAAAATCTTGTAGTGTGTGCTTTTTTATTAGAAGAGGTTGTAGTGTCTACTTTTTCATTTAAAAAAGTTTGTAGTTGACATGTAGATTATGGTGTCTCCATCTATGTTATGGGGATGAGGTTGAAGGATTGCCATCATATGCTAGTGCTGCAGCATTAGTTTTTGGCATCATCCACAAGTTGTCTTTCACATTAGGAAAAGCCTTTTTCCTAATTAAGAAAAGCGTTACACTTTTTTCTGACACACCTGATGTCAGGCACAGTGCGCATTTGGGTGGGGAATTATTTCCCACGCTTTTTGGGCCACAAGAGTTAATGGCTAGCAGGGTGTTGTCATTGTTAATGATGATATCTGCATATTTCCCAATTGGGAAAGTCATTACATAATATCAGTTTGTAGTGTCTGCTTTTTTCATTACAACACTTTGTAATCTCTGCTATATTCATTAGAAAATTGTGTAGTGTCTGCTTTTTTTTATTACAACACTTTGTAGTGTTTGCTTTATTCATTAGAAAATTGTGTAGTGTCCGCTTTTTTCATTACAACACTTTGTAGTGTCCGCTTTATTCATTAGAAAATTGTGTAGTATCCGCTTTTTTCATTACAATTCCGCTTTTTTCATTAGAAAACTCTGCAGAATTCGCTTTTTTCATTAGAAATGTGTGCAGTGTCTGCTTTTTTCATCAGAAAACTTTGTGGTCTGCCTTTCTGATATATTGTCACTCCAGTAAAACAGCTCTTCATCATCTGGAATTCATACACCAGTTGTGTTTTGACTGAGCATCAAGTGTCCTAACTTTCCCCTTGAACAGCATCCGACAGTAGCCCCAACAGCTGGCAAATCAATCACTGAGATCTTCTTGAAGGAGATCATGTTGAGGTTGGGTATGGTCAGACAAAGATGGACAGAGATGACTCCCCAGGGAGATGCAATGAATGTTGGACAACATGACTGAAGCTGGCCAAGGGAACAATTAGAACACTTGATGGTCAGTCAAAACACAATTTGTGTATGGATTCTAAATGATGAAGAGGTCTTTGGCTGGAGTCAGTTTCTCTGAAACATTAAGCTATATTTCCAGGAAGCTGCAAGATATCAGAAAGGCAAACCACAAAGTTTGGTAATGAAAGAATTGGACACTGCACACATTTCTAATGAAAAAAGCGGACACTAGACAATTGTGTAATGAGTAAAGCAGAAATTACATAGTGTTGTAATGAAAAAAGCGAACACTACACAATTTTGTAATGCATAAAGTGGACACTACACAGATTTCTAATGAAAAAGCGGACACTGCACAGTTTTATAATGAAAAAAGCAGACACTGCACACATTTCTAATGAAAAAAGCGGACACTACACAATTTTGTAATGAAAAAAGTGGACACTACACAATTTTCTAATGAATAAAGCGGACACTACAAAGTGTTGTAATGAAAAAAGCGGACACTACACAATTTTCTAATGAATAAAGTGGACACTACACAGATTTATAATGAAAAAAGCGGATACTACATAGAATTGTAATGAAAAAAGCGGACACTACACAATTTTCTAATCAATAAAGCGGACACTACAAAGTTTTTTATGAAAAAAGCGGACACTACACAATTTTCTAATGAATAAAGCAAACACTACAAAGTGTTGTAATGAAAAAAGCGGACACTACACAATTTTCTAATGAATAAAGTGGACACTACACAGATTTATAATGAAAAAAGCGGATACTACATAGAATTGTAATGAAAAAAGCGGACACTACACAATTTTCTAATCAATAAAGCGGACACTACAAAGTTTTTTATGAAAAAAGCGGACACTACACAATTTTCTAATGAATAAAGCAAACACTACAAAGTGTTGTAATAAAAAAAAGCAGACACTACACAGTTTTCTAATGAAAAAAGCGAACACTACAAAGTGTTGTAATGAATAAAGCAGACACTACAAACCAAACTGATATTATGTAATGACTTTCCCAATTGGGAAATATGTGGACATCGTCATTAACAATGACAACACCCTGCTAGCCATTAACTCTTGTGGCCCAAAAAGCGTGGGAAATAATTCCCCACCCAAATGCGCACTGTGCCTGACATCAGGTGTGTCAGAAAAAAGTGTAACGCTTTTCTTAATTAGGAAATGTCCCAATTAGGAAATAGTGCGCACATCATCATTAACAATGACCACACCATGCTAGCCATTAACTCTTCTGGCCCAAAAAGCGTGGGAAATAATTCCCCACCCAAATGCGCACTGTGCCTGACATCAGGTGTGTCAGAAAAAAGTGTAACGCTTTTCTTAATTAGGAAATGTCCCAATTAGGAAATAGTGCACACATCATCATTAACAATGACCACACCATGCTAGCCATTAACTCTTCTGGCCCAAAAAGCGTGGGAAATAATTCCCAACCCAAATGCGCACTGTGCCTGACATCAGGTGTGTCAGAAAAAAGTGTAACGCTTTTCCCAATTAGGAAATGGCCCAATTAGGAAATAGTGCACACATCAATGCATATACTACACATGGGTCAAACCCATTGGTAAATATCTGTCAACAAACATCCCAATGAGGGTATTCTGCCTACAAAATAATAGGTAAATTCCCTATCCCCTATATTAAAAAAATTCCAAGTTTTTCTCTTAAATATAGGACCCCAGACACCCCTTGTGGCTGAAAAAATATATCCTTAGTCAACCATAGCTGCAAAATATATCCCAAGTCCATCCCAGACAAGAAATATATTTCTACATTGTGACAGTCACAATTCAGGGTCCAGGCATAAGAAATATATTTGGAGTCCATTCCAGTGAGGAAATATATTTTAAGGTGTGTGACACACTAGAAATATATTTAGTGTGACATTGGACAACAAAATATATTTAGGTAAAAGTGGAGATATACAAGCCCAGAATATATACAATATAGATATACACCCTGACATTTAGTCCCGTAGTATTCATGGAGTTTGCAAGACTAATAGTCAGTTGTCAGTGGGTGACTGAAGTGTGATGTCGCCCAAGTAGCTAATGAAATTGCCAATGATATTGCACAACCCACTAATGAAATTTCCAATGATACTGGCCACATAATTTATGAAAATCGCAATGATATTGCCCAAGTAGCTTATGAAATTTCCAATGATATTGCCAAAGTAACCATTGAAAATCGCAAAATGATATCACCCATGTAGCTAATGAAATATCCAATGATACTCGCCAGACAACTAATGAAAATCGCAATGATATGGCTTTGAAAAGATATGAAATTGGTAATGATAACCACAGGCTACCTTATGAGGGAGGCCCAAAACCTTGCCTACACTTAATGAAAAAGCGCAGCCTTTATGATAATGAAAAAACATGGTAACAGTAATGATTCCCATCATAAAGAGTGTGGATGGATACACAGGGACCTATAGGCAGTTACCTGTTTTATATGATAAAAGTGGTAGCCACCAGTCCTGCACAACAGTAACAACATTGCCTCGTATCACCCCTCAATGCTTCAAGTCCATCCTTCCGTTGTGTACACAATGACCATGTAACCTCAATTATAATACCCACCGCTGGGGTCCTCTCCACTGACGGCCTCGTGTGGCCTCGTAGAGGACGCAGGCCATTGCTCGACGCTTGCCATGCACATCAGAGTCATGGTGCAGCCTGAACACAGAAGGCCGTGCCTCTTGCCTGTGTAGTCAGTGCATTCCAACTAAGACCACAGAGGGTGACAGCCGCCCTACGTGGAGGAGACGAAATGCGGGTATCTTGCCAGGAAGGCCACACACGCTCAGTGGCCAGCCTGCCCACTAGTCCCTCACTCTTGGCATTTCAGAGTACAGCACATACCTGTAATTATAATTATCATAGGCAAATAATACACGCTCTCAGCTTGAGCACCAGTCGGGTGATTTGCTGCTACATACAAATTCACTCCCGTTTCGGCAGTGAGTGAGCCGCGTGTCGGACATCAAATATCTTGATTGTTGGCTATTGACAACACCCCAGGTTTCTGCCCAACCAATTCAGAAACCACAGGGTTTCACGTGGAAAGGAGGGTTTCTGGATAGATTTATCCCGTGACGCGTTGACAATTGCTTTTGTGCAGAACTATGCTACTTGACATTGGCCTCACAGCCTTGCAATGGCGAGGAACAACACCATCCTCAACACCATCGCCCTCCTCTCCGCAACGCTAACAACCTACAACCCACTCCCCTACAACCCAGGCTTCTCCATCAAAAACGTCCTCTCCCTCGCCCAATCCCTCCCCCGCTACTCATGGGAATACGGCACATCCGCCGAAGCCCAACTCGAACTCTTCACGCCCCAATTCTCCGTCTTTGGCGCGACCCCGTTCCCGATACCAGTGTTACCAGCAGCGAGGGTCATCGCTTTGAACTACGCATCGTCAAAGGTGGATTTTGGGACAGGGTATGCGGCGTTGAGTGCGGGCAGCGGTGCGGCGGGTGATCCGTCGAGTTTGGGGGTGAGTGCGGTGATGTTGGGTAAGATGAATGGGGAGTATACGGCTGCTGCAAAGGAGACGGTGGATGCGCTGCTCACTCAGATCCCACGATGGTCGAATGGAGCGATATCGCATCGTCCGGACGTTGCTGAGCTTTGGTACCTTTCATTTCCTCCGTCGTTACTGAGTACTGATGTCCTCGTGCCCAGGGCAGACTTCGTATACATGGTCCCACCCTTCCTGGCCTACTACGGCGCAGACACCCAAAACACGTCAATCCTCCTCCAATCGTTCACCCAATGCCAACTCTACCGGCAGGTCCTCCAACCCTCGAGCGGCGGAGCATGGATGCACATCATGGGTCCCCAAAACCAAGACACCGGACTCTGGTCAACGGGGAACGGGTGGGCCGCAGCTGGGATGACACGCGTCCTCGCTACCTTTCTCAAATCGCCTTTCGCGCAACAACTCAATGGGACTGCGCAGGCGGATGCGGTGGGGGGGTTGACGGGGTACATCAAGGAGATCTTAGATGGCGCGATGAGCTCGCCGATGAGTTTTGGGTTGTTGAGGAATTATTTGAACGATACGAGTGGTGATGGACAGGGGTTCCCTGAAATTTCGGGGAGTATGCTGTTGGCGAGCGTAGCGTATTGAATGGCTGTTCTCCGTCCCGACATTTTTTCTTCTTCCTCCAACTCCTCCAACTCCACCTCTTCCTCCTCCGTTTCCAGCTACATATCCTGGGCCGACAACATCCGCGCCGTCCTAGGCGCATACGACGCCTCCGGCAACCCACACATCACAAAAACGGGAATAGCAACGCCAGCAGTGAACCCGCTAAACTGGCACGATACGACGCCATATACTTCTGGTAGTCCGGAGGGGCAGAATTTTGTGGTGTTGATGTATGCGGCGTGGAGGGACTGTGTGTATGCGGAAGTTTGTGGGAATCCGTTGGCTGCTAGTTCGGGTGGGACGACGACGATGGCTGGGGCAGCGACAACGACGGGGAATTCACGAAGGATGGTGAAGAAGCGGATGCATGGTGGGCTGAGGAGAGCTTTGGATATATTTGGCAAGATTTCGGGGTGAACAGCTTCTAATGGGATTGATTCGCTGCCACTTCGATTCACTTTGACGTCGAACATTGAGTTTTACAGTCGAGCACATCGTTTGCAACGATTTCGGACACAATGTGCACTAACATATTGTTCTATTCGTCTTTGGTACTCTTTTTATGACATGTATTTCTATGTAGGTTCAAGTGCTGTACAATTACATGTTATATGTACAAGGTCAAAAAAAAAGCTGGCAGCATAACGGAATCCGTGGCACTCTCCATAAACTTCATGATATCAGTAATTCTCAACAAGAAGCTTCAAAGTCGCCTCTTCATCAAGCTCATCAGTCAAGCTCTCCTTCACACTCATCTTCTCCTTCAATGTCTATGCAACAAAACACCCCACAATCAGTCAGTCCTCTCCAGCACAAAAATCAGAAACCGCACCTTATTAACATTCAAATACCCCGTAACAAACGCCTCCCCAAACGCCTCCCCAAGCACCGCATCACCCCTAAACGCCTCCCGTGCTGCCTCCCAATTCAACGGCAACCTCTCCGTAATCCCACACCTCGCCCTCTCCTCCTCCCCCATATCCGCCGCCGTCTTCCCAACTTCTCCATGGGCACTACAATCCCTCATCTCAAGTGCCCTGTTGATCTTCACACCACCCTCTACGCCAGCCGCTATAAGCCCCGCAAACGCCAAATACGGAATCGACGTCCCATCTACGCATTTCACTTCAAAGTTCCGAGACGAGGGAGAGGTGGCGTTACATAGCCTTATTGGAGCTTCGCGGTTATCGGTCCCCCAGCAGACGTAGGTGCCCCCTGACCAGGCACTGTCAACCATGCGTTTGTAGGAGGCGCTGAGGGGAAGTGTGAGGATTGTTAAGGAGGGGAGGTGGGCGAGGAGCCCAGCTAGGAAGGAGGCTTCGAGGGATGTTAAGTTTGGTGAGGAAATGGAAGGGGAGGGTGGGGTGGAGGAGTGAATTGATATGTGTGTGTGTGCTGCGCTTCCGCCTGTATTTGTGGTTTAGTCAGATAACGGAAAGGTAGAGAGGAGGGAAACGTACAGCGATCCATATAAACCCTTGGAGCGAACGTAGCCCTCAACCCATGTTTACTAGCAATGTTATAAATTGTCTCCCTCGTATGTACAAGCGCGTCAGCCGCCTGAAGTGGTCCCAACGGCCCCGTGATAACTTCATATTGTCCCGGGGCAGCTTCGGCATGATACATCTGCAGCTCTATCCCAGCAGCATTCAAGGCATCCGCGATTTCCTCCAGGACTTTGGCTTCGATGGAGCCGGAGGGCAAGGCGGTGGAGTTAGACCAGCCGTGGTTGTTCACTGCTTCGATGGGGTTCGTTTGTTTCAGGAGGATGAACTCGGATTCAATGCCGATGAGGAAGGAGAGGTCAAGTTCGTTTTTGGCTTTTCTAGATGGGACAGCTTTTAGTTTGAAGAAGAAGAAAGAGTGGGGAAGAGGAAGGTACACACTCGATGACTCGACGAAGTATCGTACGTGGACAAAGATCGACCTCGTATGTTAGTCGTCCATTCCGCCCTGGAAGCAGCGTTTTCTCCTGAAACCAACCCATAATTGCTGCATGGCGAGGCTGGTACCCGCACAGTCAGAGTGAAGAGAGGTCAAGGACGTAGAGGTATTCTCCTATAGGGCTTTCCAACGGCAAGGACGTGAGACTACGAGTTCCAAGATAGAAAGAGGAGACGGGAAACACTTACCTGAATCCATCAGCCAGCGACAAAAAGACGAGCCCTAACGCGCATTTGGTGATCGACACACCTGGGCGCACCGATGAAGAGAGGAGTTTCGCAAAGTAAGCGTTAGTGATGATGCGATATCTGATGTTGTTAATAAGGTCGACCCATTGAATGCGGACGAAGTCGAATGAATATGGGTCGTAGTAAATCCCCTGAGGCACGTTTTTCCTGATGATATCCCTTGCGTCCGGCGGATTAAGTTGAGGATCGGTGAAGGGTGTGTAGACGACGCCTATTTGTTCTGGTGGTGGTTGTGCAGGTTTTGGTTCGGCCATGATGCATGGGTGCTAGTGATTCAGATGCACGAGAAACATAGCGCAAGATCCCAAACTGGGATAGCCAGAGCAAGTGCGACACCTTTTCTGGGCTGGAATATTGCGGGGGCAGGTTAATAAATATGTAGGGTAATACTCTTTGTTGTAATTGCATTTTACCCTTTCCACAAAGAGGAAAGTGAATGGAAAAATTTGAATGTTCCCACTCGGAATAGTTGAACAGATCTGAACAAAGAGTCCTTTCTCAGAAATTTCATTCTTTCCCGCCTCTTTTCACAGCATGTATCAATTTTCCATGGCATGCGAAAACAATGAATCCCTTTCCTTCGGCTTTCCTCTTAATCTTACTCAACTGTTTAACTTTTACTACAATATCACAAACAGGAAAATCTTTTACAGCCGTTTGCATAAAGGTTGGCGGTTCCCGATTTCGGCGACTTTGAAAACAAACAAAGTAAAATAGACCCTAGCGTAGGGTTTCGCCCAAGTTTAGCCTCTGTCCCCATCATACCTCCCTCGTAATCCGTCGTTTCTATGTAATAAACCTGCGATGCGTAAATCCAACCGCAAAACAAAGAAAACTTCGAAAACTTTGCACATTGAGCCCGAAATGGATGAAGATGAGCTTCCTCCCACCACCCCAGCGCCTGACGACGACGATATCTATGTCAACGAGGAGGAGGAGAGGGCTTTGATGCGAAGAGAAGAGGAAGAAGAAAGTGACAGAGATGGGGAAGTAATTGACAAAGACCAGAGAGACGACGAAGAGGAAGAAGAAGACATTGATAGCGGCAGTGATGTTCAAGTTATACCGCAGAAGAGAAAAAAGGGAAAGGACACGAAGAAATCAACCAGTAAGTCCTACATGCTGTTTTTCCCCTCTGATATCTTGTCCAATCATCTGCAGAACGGGTAAACAGGCTTCCCTCTGAGGAAATCATCATGGCGCGCAAGATCACCTACAATCTAGCCATCTTCTCTGTGGCCGAGCTTGCAAAACCTCAGGCGCGCCATGAGCCTGCGGCTCGATTTGTTGTACTACCAAGCGACCTAGATTGGCTCGACGTTCATGCCCACCTGAAGATCAAGGCCGGCGATGTTTTATTTCCTGGTCAGGCCGCTATCCACGACAATGCCTATGAAACCACCTTCTGCATAGCTCGACACATCCCAAACCCACTACCTCTTTCCTGCATCGGTGACTACAAACATTTGGTTGAGAACGCGCTCCGCCAGCAGCAACCTACGGTGAAAATCATGATCAAGGTGATCGCTCGTCCACAGGTGCAATTACAAGTATTTATATATCCTCCCTAACTGATTTTCATGATTCTAGGGAACCCCCGACAAAGAAAACGTACCCCCTGTTCTAGATCGACTTGATGCTCTAGTAGATCGGGTTCTTGGACCTGCGGCAAAGAAAGGAAAAAAGAGCCGTGTAATCCCTCATTTTTTCTTCCATTCAAATTACTTACACGTCTCTTAGGCTCCGAATGCGAATGATATTTTGCCTGGCAATATTGCCAAGAACGATAACATCAAGCAGCTTCGTTTGTGTTGGGAGTGCGCCACGTCAAACTGCTCATCGGAGCATTGCTACATCCCTGCGGATGGCCCGCATTTTGCTTTGAGCCACGACCACTTTGACAAGTGGGCAGCGGCGATGGTACGCTTATAAATTGGTAAATCCTATGTTTTGACTTCTTAGTGACGCATACAGCTACACAATCACGCCGGCGAACCATCGGCAACTCTTGAACATCCACCCAACATTCGAGAGTTTGACGCCGTCTCGACGCACACCATCGTTTCAAAGTCTCCACTTCTGACAGCTCGACTAAGGGCCATGGAAAAGGAGAAGGGACCCCAGGCGCCGGTTGTCAATGTGGTGCTACCTGCTAATTATGGTCTTCCTCCTCCGGCAATTGCGGCACCACCACCAGCACCCCTGCTTGAGAAGCCGACTGGACTGATACCCCCAACTCTCAATGAAGGTCCTCGAATGGATATTGAGACGTTCTGTGTGGTCTATGCACTTCCCAACGCAGTTCTTCGATACTTCCATGAAAACGCGATTACAGGCACCCACGCATTCTCACACATCACAGATACCGATCTTGCTCGAATGGGTTTCAAGATCGGAGAGGTTATTGACCTCAAGGAGGCTGTCAAGACGTGGGCATCATCCAAGTAAAGTTTCCAAACCTGCTATCATTTGTATTGACCATCACTTTTGTGACCTTCTACTTACTGCTGTTACTCTGCTTCATAATTACCGTGATTACTGCCTGTCTGCTTAGAAATAACCCGCATGTACAAAGTATCCTGTCGCATCATCACTTGTAATAACTTTCATAACCTCCATCAGCTCGAAAATCATACCATCACCTTCGCGTGTCAGGTAGAGACGGTGACGACGTAAAAAAGCTTTAATCTTGGAAAAGGCTTCCTCAATGGGGTTCAAGTCGGGTGAGTAAGGTGGTAAAAACTCGATTCTAATCCCTATAGAAACAGTTATCAGTCAACATCAGTAAAACAGTGGGAAAACACCAACCAAAGCGCTCTGCCAGCTCGAGAATCTCCTCCCCATGGTGAATCCTTGCATTGTCCATCACTAACACACTCAGATTTCCAGGAAATGGCGCACAAAGCGGCATCTAGTGTATAAATAATGGATGAGCTATAACGGTGATGCAGTACCAAAATACCACAGTAAATTCAAGGTACTCAATGAATAAGTCTCGCGTCATTGATCCTTCGACAACTGTGCTCGCAATCATTCCATCTATAGATAGCAGGCCTTCAGCAGAGAAACATCAGCCACGAACAAAGACACCCTTCATGACTGCTCGGGTCCCTTTGCGAGATCACCCACGAGCCCGGGATGATGTGCGCTCGTCCTTTGAAACTTCGTCTAGAAACCCGAGTTGTTCAGGCGAGTACTGGCCCATCCGACCAATAAAGTCAGCCTGAAGGTCTTCATCACATTCGGAGGCAGCCTTCTTGATCTTCTTTGCAGAGATTCCAGCTCGAACGAGTTCCCGGTGGACAGTAGTGAAGTGCGCAGAAATGAAGCGATTGGTCTGAAGCAGGTATTGAAGCTCGTCAAGAAACCAGTCTGGGCGGTGTTGGATGAGGCGCTTGAGGTATTCGATATCCGAAAAGTGCAAAATACGGGGGCGGCCTCGAACACCGTTCGTCTCCCTGACAACATCCCCAGTAGCATTCCAGAGAGCAAGAATACGGTCGAAAGTTCGTGAGGAGATGGTGAGATAGTCTAGAATCGCCGGCTTTGAGAGTACATCGTCTTCATAGAGATGCATAGCGGCGATTTTGATGTCTTTGGAGATCTTGCGGTATGGCATTGTGCTGCAGAAGGTGTGGACGGTCGCAGGATGGCTGAAACACGTTAAACCCAACGCTAGGGTCTATTTTACTTTGTTTGTTTTTAAAGTCGCCGAAATCGGGAACCGCCAACCTTTATGCAAATGGCTGTAAATATTTCAGCTTTTGTTCGCCCTTTACCAGCTAAGAAAAGGCAAAACAAATTTCTTGGCCCGGATGTTTAAAAATCCCATGCCTTTCCCCACCAGAAAAAAATTGAATATAATCAGGATGCTCCCGGGAAGAAAAAGTGTCCCACTTTCTCAAGATATCCTGATCGGTAATGTTGGGCAATGTTTCTCGTGATGGGTATTCTCGAACTCTGCTATCTATCTATCAGTCTGCTAAGCCACTTCTGGTAAGTATTCGGATGAAATGCGGGTGTTATAGCTTGAAGGAGCCCAGGAAGAGCCGCTCAAACTAATAATAAGTCCATCTATACCGCAGCTCTTGCGTGTGCAGAAAAATTCGTGATCAATACTAGCAGTCTGCTCGGCGCTTGATGAGACTACCACGCCTTTAGGGAAGGGTTCAACTTTTTCCATCGTGGCCAAATCGTGGCGTTGGGAGAGCGTCACGTGTACTGGTTGACAACCTGAGAAGATCAATCACGACTTCGTTCGTCACAACCATCACTCTCCTAGCCAGGATTTGGCCAGGATGCTCACCTTCTCTGCTCTACGTGCGCGTGAGGGCCCATCGTCTGGCCCATCGCGCCGTTTCAGGATAAGGCGTTGTCGAGCCACCCCCTCGACACCATGCCACCTAATGAGTACGTCCTCATTTCTCATCTGCTAACATTCTCATCTCATTTCGTCACTCCAGAATCAATCTGACGTGACTATTTCGACGTCCCCATCTGTTTCTGGACTAGTGTTTGAAAATCCGGTTCGGTCCGGTTTTTTGATGCCCAGGGGCGTTAACCGTAACCGTAACTGGTCTGCCTTTTCCCCAGAAGTCAAAAGACCAGACCGGACCGCAAAAAGACCGCAGACCGCGGTTTTTTTCGGTCTATAGACCGGTTTCGGTCTGCATCGGTTTTAACCGGTTTATGACCGGTCTTTAGGCCAATATTTTAAAATTATGAATCGGTAAATTTATTAACATCTCTAATAGCTTCAAAACGAGCCCAAGCACGTTAAATCCCGTTAGGAATTGGTGCTTCTATAAAATAAGTCTGGTACATCTATTATTCCCAAAAGTAATTTACATTTTAATTCATATCTCTCTCGTTTTTTTACCAAATCGTACGTTCTTGGGTGCGTTTTAAAGGGTATTTAAGGGGATACAAAAGACCGGTCCAAACCGGTCAAGACCGGTTCACGTTAACCGGTTTTTTTGCGGTCTTTACATTTCAAAAATAAAAGACCGTAACCGCAGGTCCAGTCTTTTGCAGTCTTGGTCCGGTCTGGTTACGGTCTTTTTCCAGTCACAAGACCGGACTTCCAAACACTATTCTGGACAATATTTTCGCGTAGACTTTCGACTGCCTCTAACAGGCCGCGATCCTGGGTTTCCGATGTCGGTTTGTCTGCCACACACCTCCCAACACTCTTCCTCCCCTTTTGCCGCATCCTCATCGATGTTCGATGAAGGCCATGGCCGCGATTTCCACCAATGAAGCTTACAGGATGCTATCGAGTGCACTAATCTCAGATGTGTAGATAATCTTGATGGACCGATGAACAACGGTGAGGAATACTCTGTCTTTCAGATCCGTCTTCCACTCATACACACATTATCTAGCACCAAGGACTGTGTATCGCAATCCGCTCATGGGCGCCCATTTCCATTTCTCCTGAGAGGTTCTTTACCGCTACTTCAACGCAGGTAAGGATCATCTAGACTCTTCGTCGCTTTCATCTAACCCTCCTCATAGTTAAAACCATTTTGGATGGTGAGGGTCAACTTTTCACGCTGCCCACTAGGGAGTTCAAGAAAACGAGACAGCATTCAAAGATCATCACCCGGCAAGCCTCACAACCCTGTGTGCTGATGTGGCAGATGACCGTGGACAGGAGGGATCGTCGGATACTTGGAGGATATAGGTTCGTTCAATGTTAAAATCTCAGCCGTTGCTGATGTGCCCTCAGGTCTCCAGAATTCAAGTTGGATCGATAGTACCTGTTCGGCGGGGCCATGATCTCGAATCTACCACGGGTTGTTCGGAGACTGGGCATCTCAATCTTCCATTCCGCTCGTTTGCACGCCATGTATATGGGCCAGGCTGTGTTAGTCTAGTTGGTTTGGTCTGGTAAGTGAGATTTCATCTGCTCCGCTCTTTTTTTCTCACTGGTCCAATCTAGAGCTACAAACCTGCAGTGCGCTTCTGATAAGACGGCCTGCGAGGTGACGTGTAACGCCTCGGATTGACGATGCTTGGGTTGGCGGTGGAATGGTTAATGTCAGACACTTGGCATCGGGGAGAGGGGACAGAGGACGATCATATGGGTGTCATATGATCAAGGAGTCAACTTCCGGCGGATGTTGGACGTCATCATGGGGCAGGGATTGCTGCCTGAGGGTTGAATCAGGGGGGGCAGCCGCAGCTGGGTTTCATCTGCGTTGTGGAGCACTGTGGCTTCTCAGTAACAATGTGCTGCAGCGTGGTTTGGCTTCACCATAGGCCATATGTCTAGTGCTGTGGAAGGCCATGGTCAGCTACCGAGTTCGGTAGTCTCAAGTTCCTGTGGGTGGGGACAGTGGGACAACGAAAAGGGAGCGTTAGTTCGAGTTGAGGTGTGAGTTTGGATAACAGCAATCGGTAGTGTTAGTGGGAGGATCGCATTGTGCAGATCCGTGCTTTGGGGGAGCAACTGACCTTCAGTAGCAAGAGTGGTTAAGAGATCGTAGGAAGGGGACCTAGCTTGACCCATAATCTCCTGTCGCAGTTCTTGGTACAAAAGACGTTATAATATTTTGTCGAGTCGTGGTCACATGACTACAACACCCTCAAGGCAATTGACGTTTGATTGACGCTCTAACATTCTTGTTATCAACCACCATCATCATGAACGCAAACGCGACTATCGGTGCCAACGACACCAACAATATGGATACTACTGGGTTAAATCCCGCGGGAAACGACGTTCTGCAAGTGATCAGCGGCGGCGGTCTTTCAGCGCTCGAGGTTGTCGCTGCGTCTGGCGACACCTTTCCACCTCTGAAGGCGGCTGTCGCTGAGGTATTAGCCATCATTGGGATTGTTAAGGTGTGTGTCCCTACTTCAACCATTCCATCCGTCTATCTATGTGACAACGTCAGAAATTCAAGATCAATAAGAAGGATTGGGCCACTTTTTCTGCGAGTTTCGTTGAGAAGATGGCGGGAATTGTTCAGGCTACCTGTCAATACAACGAGAGTCAAATCCTGTTGACGTTGCAACCCAATTTCGATAATTTGAGAGGGTGTGTGGTTTTACTGGTTTTATTGTGTATACCTCCTTAATTGAAGTCATGCACTAGCATTTTGGACAATTTGAAAGAAGAAGTGATCAAGATCCAACAACAGAATCCATACAAGAGATTGGCCAATTTCAGAAAGGATCAAGAATATATTGCAGATTTCCAGGTCAAACTAAATGCACTTGTGAGTATATATCATACATATTCACCTTTCCATGTCTGTCTCAGTGTTGAGGAAAGTTCACAAGAACCAGGTGAGTCAAGTTATAAATATTTAATGGTATTATACTTTTATTTGTACAGATGTCAAGAGGGGTGTTTGGGAAGGTCCCATAATGACTGAGCCCAACAAAGATGACATGTCTATTGTGAGAAGAAATGTTGTTGAAAGGCCCACAACAACAAAAAATGGTATGTACACTTGCTTTCTGATACAATTTCTTGATAACCTTTTTTCTTCTGAAGTGGCTCAGGCCAATATGTTTACTCAGGCACATGATTTTCAAATTAATGATGGTGTCTTCAATAATACTGTAAGTAATCAGCTTGTTTGTAGTGCCCCTTTCTTAAAACCATTGGTATACTGTAGATCAATATGAGTGACAGCAGAGAAGTTCAGGCCAAAATAGCAGATATACGAGAGCAGTCAAATGTAAGTTATAAATTGGGTAAAATCTATCACTATCTCTCATCATTAATGAACAATCTAGGCACAAAAATGGCTGCAAGAGCTCAAGGCTCCATCACATGGCAAAGTAAGAGACAGGTGTATGCCTGGGACCCGGAAGGATGTGCTCACTCTTATTAACACATGGGTTAATGATCTGAATGAGCCTAATATTTTCTGGCTTTCTGGCAGTCCTGGCTCTGGGAAGACAACAATTGCTTCAACTGTGGTTGCTGATTTTGACTGTCTCTCTGGGAAATTCTTTTTCCGTCGTGATGAGGCTGAGCTTCGGGATCCAGACAACTTATGGAGACGTATTGCTTTGGACTTTTCTTCAGGATCTAGTGATTTTGGAAAGTCTATCACTCAGGCATTGGAGACTCAGAAAGCTGACATCAGAGGCCTTGATATTTATATGCAATTTGAGCATCTTATTGTCAAGCCTTTACAACAAGTTTTTGGGGCTGCTGTGGAGCCTTTTCTTGTTGTTGTTGATGCTCTTGATGAATGTGATTCATATGAGAAACTGCTGCCTTCATTAGTATCCTGGTCTCATCTCTCTAAATCTTTGAAACTCCTCATTACAAGCCGCCATTATCTTAAGATTCAGAGTAGACTAAGATATGTCAGTGTTTATCATAATCTGAATACTGGACATGAGGTCTCTGCTCAGACTTATGATGACCTTGAAAAATACTTTGTTGCAAGGTTTTCTGAGGCAAATTGGTTGCCTCCAAAGTGGCCTGGTCCAGACAAAATATCATTTCTTGTGAGAAAAGCTGCTGGACTATTTGTCTGGGCTAAATCTGCAATGGATTTTATCTTGTTTGATGGAGGTGATCCTGAAGAGAGGCTAAATATCATTTCTGCTCATTCTGGAGAAGGAATTGATGTTGTTGACATACTGTATCATCAGATTATTTCTGTTGCTTTGCAAGGTCTCAGAAAACCAGAGAAAACAAGTTTAAAGTTGGTTCTGGGTTCAATAATCATTGCAAAGAATCCACTTCGTATCAAAGATCTAACTGAGCTTCTGGAAGTAAAAGATGTGTTACTAAATTCAATGCTGGGTAAACTCAGCCCAATTTTATCCATCAGTGATGCAGGTTATTTGCGTATTTGCCACCAGTCAGTGGCAGATTTTCTTCTTGATTTTGAGCACTCTCAAGACTTGTGGCTTGATCCTCGATTCTATAGTCTCTGCTTTGCTTGGTCTTGTTTGAAACTTCTGAATGCAAAACTAAGGTTTAACTTCTTTGATCTAAAAACATCCTATATTTTGAACAAAAACATACCAGAGCTCAATGACCACCTTGAGAGCATCAAATCTACAGCCTTAGATCATGCAAGCTACTTCTGGGCCAGCTATCTGCAGGAGGATTGTGATAAAATACTACAGCTGAAATTTCAGGAAGCATTGGAGACATTTTTGATGGTCCATCTTTTACACTGGCTAGAAATTATGAGCTTGATGGGAACTGTAAACCATGCTGCTCAACTACTATGGTCAGCTTCAAATTGGAGCAAGGTGAGTAAAGATATGTATAATTTACTATGATACTGACATGAAAATAATGTAGGTTTCAAAACCTAGCTTATCAGATTTTGCAAAAGATGCGAATAGATTTGTCATGGAATTTTTGGAACCAATATCTGATGCAGCACCACATATTTATTTGTCAGCACTGCCATTTGCTCCACAAAGTTCAAAGATCTCTTTGCATTTTCTGAAGTTATTTCAGAAGACATTGACTGTGAAGATTGGTCAAAGGGAACATTGGTCAGAGAAATGTTTCCTCAGACTTGTCGGCCATGATTCTTGGGTTACTTCAGTTGCATTTTCTCCTGATGGCAGGCACATTGTCTCTGGATCTCATGACAAGACAGTCAGAGTGTGGGATGCTCAAACAGGTCAGAGTGTCATGGATCCTCTCAAAGGCCATGATGATTGGGTTACTTCTGTTGCATTTTCTCCTGATGGCAGGCACATTGTCTCTGGATCTGGTGACAAGACAGTCAGAGTGTGGGGTCAGAGAAATGTTTCCTCAGACTTGTCGGCCATGATTCTTGGGTTACTTCAGTTGCATTTTCTCCTGATGGCAGGCACATTGTCTCTGGATCTCATGACAAGACAGTCAGAGTGTGGGATGCTCAAACAGGTCAGAGTGTCATGGATCCTCTCAAAGGCCATGATGATTGGGTTACTTCTGTTGCATTTTCTCCTGATGGCAGGCACATTGTCTCTGGATCTGGTGACAAGACAGTCAGAGTGTGGGATGCTCAAACAGGTCAGAGTGTCATGGATCCTCTCAAAGGCCATGATGATTGGGTTACTTCTGTTGCATTTTCTCCTGATGGCAGGCACATTGTCTCTGGATCTGGTGACAAGACAGTCAGAGTGTGGGATGCTCAAACAGGTCAGAGTGTCATGGATCCTCTCAAAGGCCATGATTCTTGGGTTACTTCAGTTGCATTTTCTCCTGATGGCAGGCACATTGTCTCTGGATCTGGTGACAAGACAGTCAGAGTGTGGGATGCTCAAACAGGTCAGAGTGTCATGGATCCTCTCAAAGGCCATGATTCTTGGGTTACTTCAGTTGCATTTTCTCCTGATGGCAGGCACATTGTCTCTGGATCTGGTGACAAGACAGTCAGAGTGTGGGATGCTCAAACAGGTCAGAGTGTCATGGATCCTCTCAAAGGCCATGATTCTTGGGTTACTTCAGTTGCATTTTCTCCTGATGGCAGGCACATTGTCTCTGGATCTGGTGACAAGACAGTCAGAGTGTGGGATGCTCAAACAGGTCAGAGTGTCATGGATCCTCTCAAAGGCCATGATTCTTGGGTTACTTCTGTTGCATTTTCTCCTGATGGCAGGCACATTGTCTCTGGATCTGGTGACAAGACAGTCAGAGTGTGGGATGCTCAAACAGGTCAGAGTGTCATGGATCCTCTCAAAGGCCATGATGATTGGGTTACTTCAGTTGCATTTTCTCCTGATGGCAGGCACATTGTCTCTGGATCTGGTGACAAGACAGTCAGAGTGTGGGATGCTCAAACAGGTCAGAGTGTCATGGATCCTCTCAAAGGCCATGATGATTGGGTTACTTCTGTTGCATTTTCTCCTGATGGCAGGCACATTGTCTCTGGATCTGATGACGAGACAGTCAGAGTGTGGGATGCTTGTGACTCCTATGATATACCACTGTTAAAATTCTGTCATCGTGATCAAAATTGGATCATGCTCCCAGATAATGCACATCTCCTCTGGCTGCCAGACCAAAATAAATCTGGTTTGTTCTGGCCAAGAACAACTGCAGTATTGGTTCCATTCCAACCTCACTTCAGTTTAAAAACTTTGTTCATGGTGTAAACTGGAGCCAGTGTTTTTCTTCATCACGTGATCCCATTTAAGAAGGATTTGGACCTGTTGTCACCACTGTCAGATTAAATTGAACTTCACATCTTTTATGTTATTTCATTTATCAACCTATTTTATGTCCCACTTAGATGTATATCCTCTTTATTTATAATATGACATATAATGAGTTTTCTGAGTGTATGCTTCTTTACTACATCCTTGAATTTAACTGGTTACTTCCATTTTGATGCCCTTAGAAAGAAAGGCACTGGAAAATGAATAGGTATTACCTCACATCATGGAAATTTTTATTACTACAAAAAAAGCTAAGTTTTCATAACAAAAAATAAATATAGATACTATGGTCCCCATGCTGAGTTCATTTTCCCACTTGAGTGAGGTCTTTACCTTCCCTGGGTTAATCCATATGGAATCCATGTGGAATAGGGTCTGGAATATATCAGGAAGGTATAGACCAATTAGGATGGTAGCACCGAATCGATAAGCAGTAGACACCCTGTATCTACTTCGACATTCTCCTGCCATTATGCTGAAAAGGCGATCCAACATCGACACCCAAATTCTTGACCCACCTGAGTTCATCGACTTCCTTCACCAATCCAGCAACACCACCAAGTTCGCAGTTCGAGTACCGATTGAAGATTCTGATATCCCAAGCCAACGCTTGATTCAATGTGATCTGTGCAGTGTATCAGTACCTCTCACTGGAAAGGACCATCCTATTCGCTTGAAAACCCACTGAGACTCCGCTATATGCCAGAGAGAGGTGCGCAGGCAACAAAAGAAGCTGAAAAAGGATGGGGAGTTGCAGATTGGTCGTAGGTACACCAGGTTTTCGTTGAATGGCAAATCTAAACGATATCCTCAGTAAGATAGTACCTCTTTGTCCGTCCACATCCACACCAGCACCAGCGGGGCCACCCCTCGGAACACAGCTGCCCATTCAGCTAAGCCGCGAACACCTTCATCTTGACACTTCACGTTTCTCCACTTATCCCAATCCAACTATCTACATCGCGCAATCCCAAGATCAGCGGTCAAACAGAAGGAAGTTAATGGTTTTTTATTCACTGTCAAAGGCCAGTCAAAGACGGCGTAAATACTGAAGGCGGTTTGAAGGCAGTAGATAATCTTGTGACTCAATTAGTCTATTCCTTCCTGATATATTCTAGACCCTATGAACCCTTGATTTCAAAAAATGGTACCCAGCGATGGGAGTCGAGTTTTCGGAATCTTCCAGTGGGAGCCCCTTGGCCACGTCACTTCTTTCTTTCACCACCACCACCACCATCCACCCCACCATCTCAAGCCACGACCGCCCATGACAACAACAATGACGCTGACGACGACCACGGATGGGTGGGAACGATGGCGAGCGGAAAGCCCAGGTAAGCCAGCGGCGTGGCAACCAGATGATGACAACAACATTTGTCGTCGTCGTCATTTCATTCCACCCGTGAACAAACCACCCCACCCATTCACCTTGCTGACCCAAATCATAGGTGCCATGTCATGACGTGCCAACCAGACGACGAACGATGACTTCGACATAGGTCGTCGTCTCCGTTCGCCCACCAGATCCACCACCATGAACGGCCCACCACCACACCACACCAACATCAATGAGCGCCCACCAACGAAGACGAGTGCCCACAAAGACGACGTGACCGCCCACGAAGACGACGTGACTGCCCACGAAGACGACGCGACCGCCCACGAAGACGACGCGACTGCTCACAACACGACTGCCCACAAAACGAAGACGGAAAGCAACGGCAACCCAGCTCCACAGATGCTAAAACAAGCCAACCGCCCACAAACGAGGACCCAGAGTGCCCACGCATGAAGGATTCTGCTCACATGAACAGAAATGGGCAACGACGAGCCCAGGTAAGCTCCCCTTCCCTCCAACATTCCTCACCACCACCCCTTTATCATTCCCCCTCCCTCAATTGTTCCCCCTCCCTCTGTTGCTCCCCCTCCCATTTCTCCCCCTCCCTTCATTGCTCCCCCTCCCATTGCTTCCCCTCCATCCATTCCCACCCCATCCTTCACCACTCCCTCTCTCCTCCATCACTCCTTCCCCCTCCCTCCCCTCACTCTCTACTACACCCTCCCCCCTCCATCACTTCCCCCCTCCCTTAAATATTGAGAATAGTAAAAATAAATTGTGTAGTCTATTTAATACATTTCAATTTTTCCTGCTCAGCTATGACTGTCATGAATATAGAAACCATGATTACATGATGTGGACTTAGAATTATTTCATACAGTCATTCCATGTGGATTCCATATGGATTCCACCCTTAAAATGGCATAGAACATATAGAATAAAGTATGGATTCCATCTGAAAAAAGGATGGAATCCATGTGGAAAAAGTATGGAATCCATGTGGAAAAGTATGGAATCCATGTGGGGGAAGTATGGAATCCATCAACCATTCCATGGAATCCATCTGGGAAAGTATGGATTCCATCTAGTCCATATGGAATAACCTGGGGAGGGTAAAGTACTGATTTGAGTAACCCAACAGACTGAGACAATGAGCCTGATCACACTGGATGCAAGCCACATTAACTTGAACAAAAAAATTGTAAAAAGATTGTTCCAAAGATTATAAAATTATGGTAAATCTGTTCTATACTACTTTCTGTTTAAGATATTATATATAGAAATTTTGAGTGAGGAATTATCACCCTAAAATCCTTCAATTCAACTTCTTTAGAGTTACCTTCCTTTACAGTTGTTTGCATAATGGCTTGCACAACAGATTTTTAAAAACATATTTGGTCTTGTTTGAACAGGATCCAAAATGTCACACTGAACCCATTTTCAGATGCCTTAAGTTGCCTCAAAATGTAGTTGATGGTGTGAATGCTGCAGCCAGCAAGGTCTATCATCTCTTGTGGATGCCTCCCCTCATTGTGCAAAGCCAGGATGTGCTTGTGCACTGGATGTGTTGCAATTTTCAATGATTACGTCATTACAATAATGTATGGGACAACTACAAACCCCTTTGCAAGAACATTGTGTTGCCATCATGGCCTCAATATTGGTAATACTGACACTTCAGTCACCCAGTGCCAACTGACTATTAGTCATGCAAACTCCACGTAAGTTACATGACTAAATGTCATGGACCATATCTATATTCTAGATATATATGGGTCCTAGAAAGCCCTGAAATCTAAAATATATTTTTGACACATGGACCCTGAAATGTCACACAAAAATTATAATGTCTGTGTCACACCACCAAAATATATTTTGCAAGTGAAATGCAGTAAGGATATATTTTTGGTCAGTGGACCCTGAAATGTCACTGTCACACCTTAGAAATATATTTTTGCCCTGGCTTTGCCTTAGGATATATTTTGTGAAACAGATGTGGTAAGGATATATTTTTCTGGTCTGTAGTGGTGTCAGGGGTCCTAGTTTCAGCAAAAAACTTGTGATTTTTTTTGCTGTCTGGAGTATATATTCTGGAAGATTCTGCAATGACTTCCAGGGGTTTTGGCACTATGTCTAGCTGTGCTCCCAGTATGTAGGTAGCAATAAGGGGCATCAATACCATCTGTGATATACCTGAGTTGCTTAAGTATTATCCACTTCCAATCACACTATGAATACAGTTCACATTACAGATTCATTCATTCTCCTTCAACAATTTTGGGCCTCAATGACATGTATTGAATCACCTTGAAGCTATTCAGTCCAAGATTCCTGAGTTGCTTAAGTACTATCCACTTTGACACTATAGATACAGTTCGCACTATGGAATTTTTTAGCTGCTTAGAAATCCCCTCCACTTCTGCCTCTACTTCAGCTCTGAGATCTCCATTTGCACCTTATCTGCATACCCCACCCACATCTGTATTACTATCCCCTCCCAGACAAACTCCTGCATGTGATATCAAACATGTTGTCCAATCCACTTTCAAAAACCAGAGTTCACAAAGTTCTTTGTTTCACTCTCCAATTGCACCTTATCTGCATGCCCCACCTACATCTGTATTAGTCAAACCTCTGCATGTGATATCAAACATCTCTCCCAACCTACTTTCAAAAACCAGAGTTCACAAAGTTCTTTGCTCTTTCTCTTTTTCTCTCTCCAGTTGCACCTGATCTGCATACCTCACCCACATCTGTATTACCATCCCCTGCCAGTCAAACCCCCACATGTGATATCAAACATCTCTCCCACCCCACTTTCACAGACAAGAGTTCACCAAGTTCTTTGTTGTTTCTCTCCTTCTCTTCCTCTCTCCCTGTTTTCCTCTTCTCCTCTCCCTGCCTTCCTCCCTCTTCTCTTGACTCTTCATTGTAATTTTATTGACAACGAATTCCATTCTCCTCTAACAAATTCTGTTCACCAATGTCATAGTATGGATATCTTTCCACTAAATCCTGAACCAAGATCTATTTTAACCATATCATGAATCCAGATACATAATTTCTGAACTATATCATGAATATTTTAATTAGATGCTGAACCAAGATATATCTTTCCACTTTATCTTGAACAAGGATATATTTACAAGACATATATTTCAATTATATCCTGACCCAGGATATATTTCCAACAAGATACTGAACCAGGATATATCTTTCAACTTTATCTTGAACAAAGATATATATTCAACAAGATATTGAACCAGGATATATTTTTTGACATATAACTTTTAACTAGA